GAAAAAAAAATGTTTAAATTGAATAATCCAGTAAAACTAATTTTGGTATATTCTTTAAAGCTGCTCAATCAATGTTGAAACCCTCCTAAACATGCCTTAAACAAGCCAAGATGGTGTTCGCTTTTGGAGGTTAAAAGGGATCCCATGTCTCTAATACCATGTGTTGATACACTCGATGCTAAATAATCAAGTATAAAGCTTAAAAAAAAAGTAAAATAAATAAATAAATAATCAAGTATTAAGTCAGATAAAGCATTTATACTCTGTTTTACAAACTTTTATTGAACGTCTATCATTCCATCATCACTTTGCACTTACGATCATTATTAGTGATATTGTCTAATCTAAGGGTATTCCGAATCATGATCGCAATGAGATAGTCCTGCCAACTGGCGAAACCGAGGTAGAAAGATGAAGTTGTACAATAAGATACGAAACCAAGAAAGGGATCAAAGGCTTGAAGAGTTGTTCCCCGAATAGGCAATCTAACGCTCAAGTCAATAATGGAAGAAATTGGTGGTCGGGCCGAGCAAAAGCAGAGTAACAATATGAAGTCTAAAGAGTCAAAAGTCCCTTACCTTGGGTGGAGGCTACTTATTTATAGCCAAAGACCCATGTCCGATTCGGATGAGACTTTCAGGTTGTCGGGATGAGGTTGTCCGTCGAGATCTTCGGGATAAGTCCTAATCCTCAACGGAGCTGTCCTACTTATCCATATGGGTCTCCTCTTCTTGGTTGTGCTTATCCATATTATATGGTACCAACGTGGCCAAAAAGATAAGATAGCCACGGAGGTGCCATGTAGCACTCGGGGCTAGTTCAACCATAACCCAAACAATTAGAAGCCTAGAATGTTAGATGTTGTATTTAGTATTTCATCTAAGGTTGTAATTGAATCAAGCTTTAATTGAATAGTTTGGGCTTGAATTGATTAGATTCAATTTGAGTTTGAACCAAGCTTGATTAACACATACATAAATACATACATACATACATACATACATACATACATACATATACATATATATATATATATATTATAGAATATAGAAAATATATTTTATTATATATTATAAAAATATACTATAATTATAATATATAATATACAAATATACTATATATTACAAAAAATATCATATATAATAAACAAATATATTTGTTTTCGAACTTTTGAATCAAACTCGAGCTTATTGAATATGTAATCGAATTGAGCTCAAGTAAAAAAAAATATAGTTTGAATCAAATTCAAAGTCGAACCTATTAGTATTTTAATAAAGTAGAACCAAAACATACTAAAGTTCGACTCGACTCATCTGAATTACACCCCTAATTTCAACAATATATATATACATTCTTTAAACCATGATCGGGTAATGGCGTTATTAGGAATCAGAATAGCAAGTTGGCACTTTCGACGAAATGAGTGAAGTTAAAGAATGTTTTCTACCCACCAATTAATATTATTTTGAGAACGGGAAAGGAAAGTATTTTAGTTATATTAGGAGCCAGACACCTAAAATTTCCACCACCAGCAACCACTCTTCCACACCTCCATTAGTCTGGTCAGACACCTAAGATTTCCCTAATGGTAATATATAGAATAGAAATAAAAAATTCACCCACAATTAAAACTAATAACCAAAACTGAAGAGAGATTATTCTTAATTCGTTTGTGATAGCCATAACTTCCCTAATTCTAAACCTAGCCAGGTAGCTCCCTTTTTGTGGCTTGCAACCTATCCCCATCACCCTCTTCCCATGTCCATGTGCTGTAACATTGTCTTCACAGTGAACCTTCAGTTGCAGAACATGCTATACTTACTTTGGGCCACAAAATTGAAGGCAGGGGGAGGAAGAAGAGTGGGGAGGGGGAAGGGGARGGTGAGCGAGAACCCTTAAAATAAATTTGGATTAGCTGAACGTTTTGGTTGTTCAGAGGGAGGGGGGAGCGAGAACCCTTAAAACGAATTTGGAGTAATTGAATGTTTTGGTTGTTCAGAGGGCTGTGGAACCATTGATGAGGTTCCACGCTAGTAATAAATTTATGGCCCTACTGTGAAAGGTGCCGGCCCTATGCATTTTATTATTGGCATAAAATCTTATCATTGATTACACAGCCGATTAAACAATTAAAGCGTTCATCTAAACCTTGCTCCTTAAAACAAGTTCAATCTTTTTTTTTTTTTTATAATACAAGAAACAAATTAAAGATAGAAAACCCAAAAAAAGGGAAAAAAGACAAAAAGAGACAAAGCCAGCATAATAGAAACATATTAAATAAAGATTAATGCCATCCACTGCTTCTTCCCTGGAACTCTCCTTGTGACCCATGTTTGCAATCACAAGCCAATCCACCACTGCATTGCCCTTCCTAAGAACATGGGAGTATTAACATTAAGGTTGTGTTTGGATTGAAAGAGAAAATAAAGAAATGAAGGAAAAAGTAGGAAAACCTTTATAAACATTGCACGGACTTCCCTTGCTTTTTTTACCTTTTCTTTCAAACCAAACATAGCCTAATGTAGCCATGCCTGCAATCCTGATGCATTCTTGAATCATATCTCTAATGAGAAGACCATTTTTCCTTTTAATCCATCAACAACCAATTCCGAGTCTCCTTCAATAATATTGTCTGATTTTTTTAAAAATAGAGGCTAGATGATGAGCTTCCACCGCAGCCCAACCCTTGGTTGAGCTCACCAATCAAAAAGCTAGAGGTTTCGATTGCCAGGGAATTACTTGACCAACTTTATCTCTTGCGATACAAATCAATCGCCGTGTATCCATTTAGTTATATTTTGATTCATTAAAATTTATTTTTAATAATGCCATAGTTTGGAGGTATCCATTTAATCCACTTCTCAACTTAGAACTTTCTTGCCTCTCATACTCCCTAGCTTCCCCTAATGCTTTTTCCAACGTAGTATTTATGAGAAAAAAGGTATTAATAAAAATTTTAGGGTCTATTTGGTTTGTAGGAATAGGGGTTTGGAATCGGAATTGGAATGGGCGATTCTAATTCCAACTGTTTGGTTGAGTGGAATTGGAATTCCATTTTCATTCATGTTAGAATAGCATTCCCCTATTTGAGGGAATGGCCTCCCTGCCCTTCTCTTGGGAATGAAATTCCATTCATGCTGATTTTAATTTACATTCCCATTCCTGTCTGAACCAAACAAACTATGGGAATGAACTATTATGATTCCAATTCCGATTTCGACTATGAACCAAACAGACCCTTAGTGTTCTCATATTTTTCAAATCCTTCATAAAACATAGCTAGCTAGATGCAAATTCTCTCTTTGCTTCTTTTTAATTCGAATCCACCACCAATCTTGATTAGGGATGGAAATTTTTTCTATTCTCAATAGGGACCTGACTTCCCCGACCCAATAGGATTGAGGATGGGGATTGCTTTGGCAAGGCAGGTATGGGGACAGGGATTAATAGGGATCCCTAATTGGGGTCAGGGTCAAGGATAGAGACTGAGGTCCCTACCCTGCCCCAACCCTAATTATACATATATTAAAAATTAGGGTTCAACTATGACATGGGAAAGACATAATATCTGAAAAGGTTGTAACCATTCAATTAGAATCATATAAATGTGGTAGACAATCAGGTGTTATTTATCAAACTTCATAAGTGGATTTTGATTGGTCAAAACTTTTCCAATATCATATCTTTCTTGCATTATAGATTTTTCCTAAAAATTATTTATATTAAATATATATTATTATATATATGATATTATTTGTCTATATCAAAACATATTTAAAAAATATTATTTATATTTTAGAAATTATATTTATTATAAATAAATTTATTTTTCAAAAATATCATTAACTAAAAACATTTCAAAGATTTAGGTCCCATGAAGAATCAATCCTTATTAGGGATCAGGGATGAAAGACAACTTTTATCCTTAATAGAAATCGAAAGCAGAGGACAGACATTAATTTCAGAATGGGAGTTGAGGACGGGGAATATGATCACCGCCCTGAACCCGCGGCGTTGCCACTCCTAATCTTGATTGACTATGATGGAGGAGGATATTGTTAATTTCTTACACATAGGGTTCTTATAATAAAAAATATATTGGAATTGGGCCTCCATAACTAGCAATCTGCTTCCTTTGGGCCCAAACTTAGGCCTCAGGACGGACAGAAAATAAAGAGGGAAAGCTATTGTGAGCACGGTTGGTCCTGAATAGGGCTGATTTTTTTTGGTTAAAACTTTAAACCCATGTAATTAGGGCGGTTTTGGTTGGGACCCACCCAGTGGGTTGGTCCTGATTCTTGATACATGGGAGATGCCGTGGCAAATTAGGAGCTCCAGGCCCAGAAACCAGATCAGTATAGAGTCCACAGAGCGTACATGCGGCAGGCGTTAGAGGACAAAATTAGTGGATCCCACTTACAATTCTCCTCACTTGGACTGATCATATTGGACTGTGCTCCTCTTTAAGCCCATTGCTTGCCAAATGCCAACAGTCTACCGTTATCATGATCGGATTCCGTCCTCAGACCTTTCACAACACTTTCAGCTGCGCAATGGGGAATGGGGATATCTCTGTACCTGTATCTTACATTAACGGGAAAATATTACTAATGCACGGCTGTAAATTATTAGACCGTAGCTGTAGGCAAACGGAGCCTTAGAATTTTGGAAAGTAGAGAGGATAAGTAAGTATATTAAGGATGATTAGAAAAGTCTAAACTACAGAGTACTGACAATTAATTAATAATAAATGCTTTGGATAAGCAGATAGGGGGTGGGTTGGGTTGGGCTTTTTAAAAAGAAGGAAAATCCACATTGGATTGTACACCCATGACCCAATCTCCCAAGTCCCACCCCGTTTCCTAATGTATGAAACATATATAGGCCCTTGGATTTTGAAATCCGATGGTCTTGTCTTATATTCCCAAACTTGTTACACTGGACCCTGTAACGGCCCAATTCTGCCCTCTAAATTCTAAAATTGATGAAACAGAAGAAGAGACTCTGTATTTTTAAACAGAGGGAGAGAGAGAGAACACCCTCACAAGTCACAAGTCACACCTTCTGAGTTCTGATATTCGTCCTCCCTTTGGATCCTCTTACCTCTCGAGACGATTTCCTCTCTGTCTCTGTCTCTCTCTCGTGCAGCGAGCCCTTACCAAACTTCCCTTCCTATAAATACCCTCCACTTTCTTTTTTCTTCTCCTGCTTACTCTCTCCCGCTCTGCCTCCCCCCCTCTAAAATTTTCAGCTCTCTCTCTCTCTCTCTCGCTCGCTTGCTTCATCTCTTCGGTCGTTCTCTCTTGATCTCACCCTCTCTCTGCGTATATACATAAATTATCTAAGAGATAGATGCTCTGTTGCTGAGCAGGGTCGTTTACTGATACACAGAGGAAAGGATAAAAGGCAGATACAGAGTGTGAGAGGAAGGAGCTCTTGATACTTTTCTCTGTTACATCTACAATGTCGGCTTGCAAGATCGAAGATCCTCGTATCCATGGCATCAAAACTAGAATCCGGGTCGTTCCCGATTTCCCGAAGCCAGGTTTCCTGCATTTCTCTCGTTTTGTATATTCTTTTTCTTCACCTGACAGCCATCGTTGTTTGAATTTCGATCACAGAGTTTATCTGAGATATCATTTCGTTCTTCGCCGTGAGCCCTTATGCTTGCTTGTTGAGAGTGTAATGGTGGAACAAATATTTGGTCTTTCCTTTTCTTTCCTGTTATTTCATGTGCCCTCTTTGATGTTTATTAATGGCGGTAATGGCAGGGATTATGTTCCAAGACATTACGACTCTGCTACTCGATCCAAAGGCATTTAAGGACACGGTAGATTTGTTCGTTGAGAGATATAAAGGCAAAGATATATCGGTAGTCGCAGGTAAAAGAAAAAGTCGTCTCTTTATCTGCGATTATTCATGAGTCCATATTTCTATATTTATGTATATATTTTGGGTAGTTGGGTTTGATCAATGAATGCTAGGCGGTTTTGCTTTAAAGATTTATAATTGTTTTTGGATTAATGTTTTCAAGGAGCGGTGGGTCCTTGTCTTGAAGAAAGTAGGTCGAGGAGCATAAAAATGGCTCCTTTTTAATCACTGCGATTTCAGAAGTTTCTGCTTGTCTTTTGGGCTCTGCTTTTGGAGGCCTTTTTTTCCCTTTTGTGCAGTGAGTCTGGTATTTGAGTGATGGTGTTTGGCTAGCAGTTCTGTTCTGTTAGCGGGCAGTGTTATCGGGTATTAGCTGTGAAGGTATAACGTCTCATGATACTCTGCGGAACTGTTTTCCGGTGCTGTTTGCATGGTTGGTGGTCGGTGATAGATGCCCACCATATTTCAGTGGACCCAACAGATGCAGATTTAGCTTGGACGTTATTTTGTTCTATTCTATGTTTTGGCTCCACTCACCCCTGGATTTGTCGACTCTGTACCGTACTTTGGATGACTTGGTTCAGAAACCCTTTGTTTGATGTCCTTTCCTTCGAACCTCCTACTTGGATTCTACTACTGACGGTTTTGATGCAGTAGGTGTGCACTTTGTTATACTATAAACAATAAAATAATATATAATACGACACTTTCTAAGTATCAGTTCAGTGTGATGGGATTAGCCCACTGAGCATCATATGATGGAATCGACTAATACGAACGCCTTAACTAATATGAATAAATTATTCATGGAAGGGTCGAACGTCATAACTAATATGAATAAATTATTCATGGAAGGGTCGATTATGATACTGTAGCAGGTAAAACGTGTCTGTTTGTTCTTGAGTTGCTGACTGTAAAACCCATAGAAAATAAAAAATGACCACACGTTTCTAAGAGATCTATTGGGTCATTGAAATACTGAAGGGTGTGATGCATGTTATTCAATGTTAGATGTAGTAGTGGATGTGTTATGCAATTATAACACTGTAAAAGCTAATTTATTGAAATTATGTAATTTCATGATATTCATCCTGTTATGGGTCATTTAGGATGAGCTTTTAGTTTGACTCTGAAATTGTTAACCAATTGAGACATATCTGTTAATAGAGTTTCGTTTTGTCTTAGCCTGTTGCGTTCATGCAAAAACTATTCAGTGCACACGATTATTTCTCATAGAATCGAGACACTACGAATTCACTAAACATTTCAAGATGGGCTAGTCAATACGGTGTATGAATCTACTTGGCTAGTCCATTATTGTGTATGCTTGAATCTTATATGGGTGAGATCTCCTTCTCACATTGCTCGATTTATGCAAACAGGGCTATGCTAATCTGTGTTATTTATGTTGGAAAAGAGGAAGCACGGAATTGGCTAATTGTTGCATTTATTGGATGCTTGCACTAATCCTTGACTACTTTTGGTTATTCATTTGTTCACTTAAGCTTCATGTCTCTTAGTTTTCTCTTCTTTTCCATCACTTTGGCCCATAATATAAATTTTAACTTTTTTTTGTTTAAGATATTAATGGATGTATTCCTTTAGACAATATGCTCTATGCATTTTCATGTGATGATTCGCTAGCTTACTTTGTATGAGCTTTGTTGTTGTATCATGCATATCTGTTGACTTTTCATTTTGATAGAACTTTATCACAAATTTTGTGTTCTTAGCTGATTTTATGACAACCCAAACAATTATATGCTCTTAGACTAAGATTTTTCTTTTCTTTTACCAGGGATTGAAGCTCGGGGTTTTATATTTGGTCCTCCCATTGCATTGGCAATTGGAGCAAAGTTTGTTCCATTGAGAAAACCAAGAAAGTTGCCAGGTAGATTTCATTCTTAGCAATTCTGTTTATCTAATGTATTTGTATGTATCGATGTACTGGAGCAATTCTGTTTAACATAGAGATATATTTGTATATATCTATGTGTCTATGCAAATGCATGTCTATGCCTTAGCAATTATGTTTATCTAGAATAGAAGAATTGCTATATTTTGTTTATGTATAGACAAGGTTGTTCTGCATGGGCCATATAGGATTCTTCTTTATTCAGGCCATTCATTTCTAGTCATGTGAAGGTCTTCTTGGGTGTCGATGGTAATAAGGTTTGATGAACTCAGAAATTGGCATTTGAGATGGGGTACTGGATACTTTGCTGCAGATTCCCTGTGAGGGTATATCCCTTTGTTAATCAGCTATGATGGTAAAAGTTGGTATTTGAGATGAAGATCTCTCATGCATCAAGTGCAAGTAATAGAAAGTCATCTAGTTTGTGCATCTTATAGGGGCTCCATTTCATTTGTTAGACATGTAGTGCTCATCTGTCAGGGGTGCTCCTTCACTATGCATTGGCTGTTGCTTTCTGAATGAACTTCTTTAAAGTTTTGGTTTATTGGAATGTGAGCCACGTGGTGAGAGATGCCAAGAGGGAATTGCCACAGATTTTTATGGCTACCTATGCTATTTGTCCAAAAGATGGAATCTTGCATGCAGAGGGATAAACTGCATGCATTCTGTTTATGGTATTTAATTCTCTCTTTTGTTAATTTTTTTTATTCTCTGTTCTTCACTGCTTGCCTTTTCTTTTACTAATGTGTGTCTGTGTGATTTGCAACTTCTTTGTAAGATAAATATATTATCCTAATATATTAATGGTCATGAGTGGCTTCTAACTTTTTCTTAATACTTGTATCTATGTCTTTTTCCGAAAAAGAAAACTAAAACTTCTGGCTTATTATATTTTGTTTCGGTGTTGTTTATTTTTCTTGTTTAGTTAGTGTATAGATTGCATGTAAATGTAAGGATTAATTGTTTGTTTTGTTACTGCTTTCTATTGCCTAAAAGTTTTCTTATGCCATGCTAATCAGATTTTATTGAAGGCATACCTTTTTTATAACAGGAAGAAAATTTGTTAAACCAAAAACAGAAAACAGAGAGAGAAAGTTTTAAGAGCGTTCAAACCAAAACACCCCAACCATGCTGCAATGACCAACTGTCCTACTCAACCTAAAAATGAGAAAATATACAATTCCATCAATGCATGCTACCAAATCCTCTCAGATCCATTCACTTAAGCATCTTCTTCCTGGCCGTCCTCTTCTGTAAGTCATAGCTCTGGGTACAGTAACAGAAAATGGCTGCTATTTCCCCTATCACCAATATAGTTTGAACTTCAAAGCCTAACTAGTACACTGTCATGTAAAATCAGTGCCTAATACATTCTTGACTCGTAAAATTCTATTTTTGTCAGATCCATCCAACAATGACCACATGCTTAACCTTCAAGGTCAGAATCCTACCCCTCTTGAGGTGCTGCACTTGCCTGTTGACACAACATATCAATATGAACATCTCTATTTGCATATCTTGTGATCACATGCTTTTCCAGATGCTGGTCCTTCAATTTGCTCTCTCTATGTTGCTTGATTATGTTCCTGTTTCCTCTTTAATCACGAAAGTTATTCCACCTTCTGCGGCAAGGAATGTAAAACATGTAATAGAAAAGGACAAATAGAGGATAATGGGTATGATGAGAAAAATGACTTTTGACTTCTCAATGGATTTAAATGTTCTGCTTCGATGCAATTCACATTATGGAGAAAGACACTGTAGACCATCAAATTTGCATTTACATATTCATGGAGAAACATTGATGGCCAGGGAAGAGGTTTTGTATACTACTTTTTTCTTATATAATTAACATCAATTACCTCATTAAAATGTTGAACTACCCAAAAAACTGGATAGCACTTAATGACATCAAGAGTACCAACTATTGATCAAAAATAAATAAATAAACAAAATAAAACATCAAGAGTACTAGCTAGTCAAACTAGCAATAGCAAGAGGCTGTAGGTGATAGAATCTTTCATATAGGAGAAACAAGTGGGTGTTCTCATAGAATAGGGTTTTAAATAACCCAAAATAGCACTCTAGGATATTCTTGTGTGGATTGAATACTTAAAGTCTTAGGGTAAGGATGAAACTTAATGTCCACATTTTTATGCAATATAAAGGCTTCTGCCTATTTCTTTATGATTGAACAAAACCAAAGATTCAGTGGCATTGGAAAATCTAAAGGAGTGTCTGAAGAGTTTTCTCATTTTCCTGTAATGGTTATTCTTGAGGTTGGTATATTTTTTTGTAATCTTTATGTGCAGTTTTAAATAAAAATTTTGTAGTGCTTATATTCTTCACAGTTATTTGATAGTGTATGTGTTTAAAATAATAAGAATTTTAAGTTTGTACTTAGATGTGGTTACTCAATTAGGAATCCTAAGATGATCTTTAGATATTATGAGCAAGTCATTTTGGAGCATGTATTGATATGCTCCAATAAACTGCCCTTGAGATCAGCACTCAAGTGAAAATTCCTTCTGAACTCTGGAGTTCAGTGTGCTTGGTCAAATATTGTGCTAATTTACCAAAATATGTGATCCTGGAAGTCCTTGTGCTGTACCCATTTGAAAATAATAAAATAATGAATACAACCATGAAAGTATCCTGGTCTTGTACGTATGTTGTGGTTGCATATACCATGGGTTGTGTGGTTTAGCCTCCTTCAGTAGTTGCTATGTAGGCCAGATTTGGACCAAAGTCCTATATTATAATTTAGCTAGCAGTCAATCTTGTTAGAATTTTTGTTATTAAGCTATGAATATGAAGTCTTTTGCATGACTGCATAAGTTATGTTGACAGTATGGAAGTATTTAAGCCACAGATATTAATACCTTTTCTTTGTGACTTGTTGCCTGCTTGATAAATCTTCCACTTACTGTTAATATTGTATTCTTCTCATCTAATTAATGCTAAACTTAGTGGTTTATTTTCTTATCAATCTCCTTAAGTAACATATAATTGCAGGTAAAGTTATTTCGGAGGAGTATGTGTTGGAATATGGAACAGATTGTCTTGAAATGCACGTTGGAGCAGTTGATCCTGGTGATCGTGCTTTGGTAGTTGATGATTTGATAGCAACTGGTGGTACACTTTGTGCAGCAATGAAATTACTTGGTATTTTATCATCAATAAGTTTTTGTCACTTGGCGTAGTTCTTAATAGGTATATCGTTTCTGATAAAATGGTAGTTGTACAAATTAACATCAAATTCTAAAGGTACTTCTGGTTGTTAGAAGATTTTCTATTTGACAGAAACATAAAATTTCTAGTTTTCTTCTTAGTTGCTAAATTTATCATTGCTGATAACATTGGAGTCATACAAGCAAACATGAAAATTGATACAAGAGAAGCACTTGTCTTAAAGTGCTGCTTCACAAAAAAAAGTATTGCCTTCAAAGATTTCTAGGATTGGTGCCCCTAATACATAATTTGTGCAAAAGATTCTCTATTTGACAGAAATAAATATTTCGGCTGTAGTTCTTAGTAGGTATATTGTTTCTGATAAAATGGTAATGGTGGTACAAACTAACATACATCAAATTCTAAAGGCACTTTCTCCACTGCATAAAGGCCATTACCCAATATTGGTTCCAGCCATCTGGGATCTTTGGAGTGGTTGAAGTATTACTTTCAAAATACCGATAAAGAGAAGCATTATTTCCAAAATTTTCTGGGATTGGTGCCCCCTAACACGAGGTTGCATATGGCTTGGATTGATATTTAAGTCCTGTAGTTGCAAAACATAGGAAGAGGTGATTTGCAAGTGTAGTAGTATGGGTAAATAATACTGATAAAACTTAGCCATTGAATAATAAAATGTAAAAAAATATTTCTTACATGGAGTTATTGACTTGGAAGTGGTCACAGATTGCCTAATAGAATAATCAGTAAATTAGGCAGCTTTGCTTCATGTGGAGGATTGAACCTGAAAGCAAGGACAAGAGGACAACACAAAAAAGAAGAAAGAAAAGTTCCAATGGCTTGCTACCAACTTACTATCAATTACAACGAGGAAGAGTGAGAGAAGAGGGCATTGGAGACTCCAAAGGGCATGGTTAGATTAAATTGAGATTTGAGCTTCTTATTTACAGGGCCTTGTATTTGTTAAGTAACCCAGTCATAATTAAATGGTGCCTAAAATGGAAAGATTGCCTTGGGTGAGCCACTTTGCATCCTACATCCTATCAATAATTTTATTGGTCTTAACATTTAGGGCATCGGGTACCTTAATCCATCTAAACTAGTTGATTAATACTTGTTGTCTGTTTGTTTATCACTAAACTTTTAATTATGGCCTTAAGGTTGGGAGCCTTATTATAAACTGCAGGGCTATCAATGTAATGGTGTTGGCAAATCCTGTGTTGTATGTGGGGACTTGTCCCCAATTTGTGTTCTGTGTTGCAACAACAAATGTGATATTGACCTAGGCATGAATAAGTACTTGGTGATCATCAACTATGTTGAATCAGTACCTTAGATTTTACAGGCTCATCAGATGGAGAGGATATTGGACATTTAGAGGGTTGTTGACAAGGACGCTCAAGTAAGTACAAGTTTGAGTTTATTCCTTTTGGCTGGAGAGAGTTTGCTAGAAAAATGCTAATGGAACTTGAAATTTTGATTGAGGAATCYAGAGCATTGTCTGAAGAAGACTTTTTTTTTTAATGACACTGGTCAAGGTAGTCCAGACTGAGAGGTTTCGGGGGTTGGTTTCCTTTAGGAAAAACAGATTGTTTCTGCCAGGTTAGTTGGCCGACTGGGTATTCTAGTTTGTCTTGTTAGAGATAGTTAGGGGTTATAGCATGTTCATGATGCTTTTTGTTTTTGGTATTTATCATGGACTTTTTCTTTGTCTTTGGTGTTACATTGAGAATTATGAATAGGGGTTTTGAATTGCTTTAGAAAATGTTTTAGGGATGGTATATCTTGTTGTTAGGTTTAAGGGAAATAGATTTGAATGGTGTTGGGATTTATGCATGAGTATATGCAGTGAAGAGTCCCACATTGAAAAAATAAAAGAGATTTGAATAGTGTTGTGATTCCATTTCAATTTGGACAAGGGAAAGTTACACCACAACTAACCATGGCTCTGATGCCAATTTGTAGGTCCCATATACACAATAAAATGTGACTAACAAACACTTGGAAGCAAGCAAAAGGCCTGTTCAAATAATTAGCAGTTATCATATAATTTTTTGATCCATCAGTAGTTATCATATTAATTTCTTCATCTTATTCATCAGGTGCCCTCATATTTGTCAAATTTGTACAGTGTTGTTGTTTTATGCCTTGTTTTTTTAACTTTTATTTTTCATTTTTGTTTTTTTTTTTATGTACTGATTTAGTGGACCATTCTTATTTTTATGACTAAAAAAGAACACTTATATTTTCTCTAAGGCTTCATTCTTGATGCATCAAAATGCTATCATGTGAAGATAGGAGTACCGTTTGCCTTTGTGTTCTTGTCTTGTTGATGTATAATTTCATTCAAAGAGAAAGTAAAAAAAGAATATGAAAATAATTAACAAAAAGAAAAAACCAATGTATGTCCAAGATAGTCAGACTATAATGTATACGGCCATAATAAGTTGTAAGGCTATTTTATAAAAGCCAAAAGAAGTTGCCTGCAGTGAATGCCCCCAATGTTGATGCATATCTATAATGTTGGTGGATAAGTACCTCCAATCGATCAAGGGTGACAGCTAGTGAGTAGAGGTGTAAAGTGGGTCATGCCGAGCACCATGGGTGGCCCGCGCAAAGTGCGGGCTGTGCCGTGCTGGCCCGCGGGCTGTCACGGGCCGTGCCACCCTCTTCGGTGAAAAATTTGGGGGTCGGCCCAGCACGGCCCACGGCCTAGGCCCATGGGCCGAGCCTTGGGCCGGGTTGGGTCGTGCATTGGGCCAAAGCTATTTATTTAAAATTTTGACAAAAAACTTAAAATTTTAATTTTATATGACTTTTGTGTATAAAATTGCTTATATATACAATAATAAATAAATTAGTATAATAAAATTAAAAATATTTATTTTATTAATATATTATATACTATGTATTATTATATAATTATAATTTATATAATATATATAAACAATATATATGGCCGTGCTACGGGCTGTGCCGTGCCGGCCTGTGGACCTAAAACCCCAGGCCCAGCACGGCCCGCATGATCGTGCCGGGCCTGGCATGGCCCGTAGACTGTCGTGCCAGGCCGGTCCAAGTTCGTGTCGGGCCGCRGGCGGCACGGCCCGATTTACACCTCCACTAGTGAACTGGAGATCTACATGACAGCCTGCAGTCAAATGGACCATGTTGTCCAGATGATTTTGCAACTAAGAACGTACTTAGCAGTAATAATGGTCCCTTTCAAGGCACAAGTGTGAGAATATATCATTTCCTTATATTCTAAATAGTTTTCCTCTATTTAAAAGGTGACAGAACATGGGTGTTGTGAATCATGCCTTAGCTGGTCCTGATATCATGCCTTCAGGCTTCATCTTTTTAATGGACCCATCGTCACATATTATGACAATATATTAGTAAAATGAAATCAAGAATAAAACCACAGGGAAATGAAAAAACATTAAGAAAATGACAGTAGCAAGAAAGATAAAGACCTAGGAGTAAGTTTGTCTGCTTTCTTTTTCTTCCTGCATTGTTGATGTTTATATCATACTAAAAGATCAGTTTAGTGCCCCCACATCTTTGGCACGTCATAGTTTTCCTCCAAGAACAGTTGTTCAGTTGCACACCAGCACCATCTGAGTGCAATAGTGCTGTCATGTATTTGAGCTTTCATTAGCTGCTTCCTCTAATTTGTGTATGCATCTTGCCCAATGTTGGTCCTGGATTTTTTGCACACAGTGATAAGTGGCTGCCATGAGAGAGTTGAACCTACTTTCTCATGCTTGTCAGTCTGAAATTTTTAATGTTGATAAGTGGCTGCCATGACAAGTAGGCAAAGCAAGCATTATTCTTTTTTAATGAGGCTTTTCTTTTTATTTTACTATTGTAAGGCTTATTCCAGTTGTATAATATTATTTCTTTGGCATTTTTCAAGTATATGGGTTGGTTATGTTGTCTGTATCTGAAATTGTGTTGGGTGTTTTACCAACATGATCAATACCTCAATCTTATTTGATCCATTCTTACCCAATGTAATGGTATTCATTGACCTTAATCCCCAAGAGATTGTACATGCTAAACCTCCTACCTCTACCCAATGTAAGACTAACAACTGCAAATGTTGATGTCCCCCTAAGAATTTCAGACTCTGCGCTTCTATTGTTGTTTGCAATGTTAAGTTCTAACTTCTAGGATATGTTATTGAGTAGTGTGTTTATTGTACAGCTTTTTCCCATGTAATTTGAACATTCTTTCCTCATTTGCATTCCCATATTCCCACTTTTAAGCAGTTCTGGCATAGAAGTCAATGGTTAATTGTCAAATTAATCACAGTCAAGAAAGCATACACATACACACGCTTTTTCTATGCTGTGAAGTCATTGTGCATTGTTGCTTTATGCTTGTCTATTTCAGCATGCTATTATTGTATTGTAACACATTATTTGTCAGAACGTGTTGGGGCTGAAGTGGTTGAATGCGCATGTGTAATTGAACTACCTGATCTAAAGGTGCGTGCCTAACTGCTTTTGCATATCATTCTGTTAGGCTTCATTTGTTTCAACATAAAGAGGTAAAAAAAATTTCTTCTATATAAAAATTAGGGCTGTGAAGGGATTGGGTCAAATTCGGACAGATGTATCCGACCGAATCCAATCCATAATAACCTGAGGTATCCAATGCATGTGTAATTGTGTGAAACATAATTTGAACTTGATTCATTTCTGTCTAGAATCTAGATATCCAAATTCACTTGAAGCTCAGTAAACCTAACCAAAACAAAACAAGCATAAATCCATAAATAAAATTAAATATAAAATAAGAAATTATATATGGTAAATAGACAAAAGGGTTAATGTAAATACCAAAATTCACTTAATAGTAATGAACTGTAAGTTCAAATTCCATAAAGTGTTTGATAGTGCATGTATTCATTCACTAGTATAATTATTACATTTTATATACAGATCACATTTAACACATCTCATGCTTGTCAGCCTGAGATCTTACTATTTTCATCAAGCAATTGGGTACCTGATTTGAACTTTGAAGAATTTACACAGCATTAGGGCCGTGGGCCCATTCAAATATATACACTAGTATAATTATTACATTGTATACACAGATCACATTTTTAAATCTGATCCAATCCAATTATTCTTAGAGGATGTCCAAATCTGATTTTGATTAAAATATCAAATCAGTTGTAATGATTTATAGTTTTTTTTTTTTTATGTTTGAACTTTGTATGGGAGAGCTCAGAGGGATTATCTCTCGCCATTCTTGTACTGAGCTTTTAATTTTAATGAAATTTATCCGTTATTGACAAAAACAAAAACAGATTTGAATTCCAGTGAATTAAATATTCTAGCTTACTCTTTCCTTCTGCATGGAAATAAAGAAAGTCTTCCTCTGCCATAAGTTCATTATGTCTTATTTGTCAACAATAGTTTGCTGGTTCCTATCCTAGGTGTTAGGAAGGGTGGACTGGATAGTGGATTCAGACAATCAGACCTTACCGTTGGCAAATTTTGGCACAAAGTGGTCAGTCGGAATTAAATCCATCTCATGCTTGTCAGCCTGATATATTTCTATTTCACCAAGCAATAGGGTCCGAAGTTAGGTACCCGACTAGAACTTTGAAGAATTTACACAGCATTAGGGCTGTAAGCCCATTCAAATATATTAACAAATGCTCAACCTGAGCCTCCCCAAGTTGCACCCCTGCCTCTAGCAATGGCCATCATAAGTTAGAGATGACTCTTCTGCAATAACATTACTTACCCACTTTCCCTTTACACTGGAGAGCAGGTCATCTGCCTTCTATTCGTCTTATGCAATAAAATTATGTGTTAATTACCAAAAAACAAAAAACAAAAATGATCATCATAAAATGGATGTGCCATCATATCATTGTCATTCTTTTTGAAGTTCCAAGTAACCAGAGAGGAAAACATGATCTTGCTTCCTGACCATGAGTGATGAAATGGGAGTTTGTGGTCATGCAGGGTCGCGAGCGTTTGAATGGCAAGCCATTATACATACTGGTGGAATCACACTGATGGAGGCGATGTCATTTGCGTCTCTGTTCTTGCATCTGCGGGGTTGATGATCTGTACATTAGAGGGATATACCATTGGTGGTTCCATTTCATGTAATCCATTCCTACTTCCTAGCTGGAAGACTGCTTTCATTTTCTTTTTATGCCACGAGTAGGTGATTTTGTTTACCTTACCTTAACTTGATGCAGTTCTTCTGGACTTATCATGCAAACTGTTTCGTTACATAATTGATAAAACAGTCTGTGCCTGACTGCCTGTTGGAGCGTTTCCTTTTGTTCCTCTCCTGAGGTGTTGGTCGTGTTCTTGGAATTTGGAATTGCGCTAGGCCCTCAAAATCTCTTATGTTAAGTCTGAATATGGAATTTTTGAAATCATTTTCTTTTGACATCAGAGTATCAGACAGATCACAGAAACTGTTGTGACCGGCTAAACTAAACCAGAGGGGATGTCATATCGCCTACTGTCGTTCTGTACTACATGGAACTATGGAACAACCCGGAACTAGCTGTTCTCATGGTGGATTAGAGTTGCCACAATCAATACCAGTCTCTTCTCTTCTAACATTCTGGTCAAGTCTCAACTCTCAATCCGAAAGCCACATGGAATTTGAATAAATATGGCTCAGATGTCCGTTGAGAATCCTAGATGAACAGAAGTTACCATTTTGATGGGCTTATGACAATATTTTATTTCCCTATCAATCGTCGCTAGCGATGGCCTGATGGGCTTGAATGGTCTTACCATAAATCGCACTAGTCAAAGTTTCCTTAAATATTAGTCTCGATCTTCTTGAATCACAGGTAGGGGTGCAACTTGGGCTATAATCTATATGACCTGAATTCAACCTACATCTAACCAGGTCAGGTTGGATTGGGTTAGAGCTGAAACCATAAGGAGAGATTGATCCCCAACCAGAGGAATGGTTGAGGGTAGTCAAACTTCTTGTGGGGAGCCTACATCACTACCTATGCTTGTTAGAGGGATCATGACGCAGCGTAGAAGAAATGAAAACCGAGCTGGCATTGCAAGCACCGGGCGAACGCAAGGCTTCGCAGTGAAGCCAAAGAGGACTATACGTGAATCTCTTAGGAGAGAGAAAAGTTGGCGAAAAACTTGAATGTCTATTAGCTTGGAAATAACTGTATTTATGATACATCTGGAAAATTGTAGAGCAACTAGGAAAGAAAATTGTAAGTGATCTAAACAACTAATCTTGTAGCTAGGATCGAAGTCTTCTTGGAGGTTGCCTCGATCTCCACTGTCCGATCTCCCTAGATCGATCCATGCATGGGTTATCCTTTCTTCTTGGGATTATCTTGAATTATCTTGAATCTTGGATCTTGGATCTTGGATCTTGGAATTATCCTTATCCTGCATGTGACTCTTATCCCATGAGTTGCCGCCTAGATGATGAGATGGGCCTTGAGATGGGCCTCAATCATTCTCCCCTACTTGGAAAGAACTCGACCCCGAGTCGTGATTGGGATATGCAAGTGTTGTCTCGGGCAGGTATCGATGCAGGTCAGCAACATTAAATGTCTTAGAGATGCCCATGTGATCCGGCAAGTCTACGACATAAGCATTGTCATTGATTTTCTTCATGATCTTGTATGGATCGTACTTCCGAGGCTGTAGCTTGTTATATTTCTCCACGGGAATCCGTTCCTTTCTCAAAAACAGCATAACTTCATCACCGACGTCAAATACTTGGTGCTAGCGATGCTTGTTTACCGCCATCTTGTATTTTGCGTTGGTTTGCTCCAGTTTCTGCCTCACGGCATTTTGAACGGACTGGATCTGCTCTGCCAACTGTTCTGCCGTGGCACTGGGTACCCTGGGTAGCTTCACCAAGTCCAGTGCATGATTAGGAACCTTCATATAGACAATGGAAAACAGAGATCTACCTGTAGAGCTATGCACTGCATTATTGTAGGCGAACTCGGCCTATGCTATGGTGAAATCCCACTGCTTCGGTCTTTCCCTACAGATACTGCGAATCAAATTTCCAAGGGTCCGATTCACCACTTTTGTCTGTCCGTCCATCTGCAGATGGGTTGTACTGCTAAAATTAAATGATGAATCAAATAGCCTCCACAGGGTCATCCAAAAATGACTTAGGAACCTCGTATCTCTGTCTGATGTGATGGTCTTAGGTACCCCATGTAAACGGACAATTTCTCTGAAAAATAACTTGGTTGTTGTTGTTGCATCTGTTGTCTTCTTGCATGGAAGGAAATGAACCATCTTTGAGAACCGGTCAACCACTACGAAGACGAAATCCATATTTCTGGGAGTTTTGGGCAAACCTAGCACGAAATCCATGGACAAGTCTTCCCAAATCGCAGTAGGAACAGGTAGAGGCATGTAAAGTCCTATATTCTGGGTCTGTCCCTTGGTTGTCTGACAGGTATAGCATCTATTCACAATAGTAGTCACATCCCTTCTTAATTTCGGCCAATAGTAATGCCCCTTGACTACTTCAATTGTTTTGTCTCTCCCAAGGTGGCCGGCCAATCCTCCCCCATGCAGATCCCTGATGACCTTTTCGCGGAGGGAGGTGCAAGGGATGCACAATTGTTCCCCTTTCATAAGGAACCCATCATGAAGGTAAAAATCACCTGTTGGCTGTCGATTTGTACATTTTTCCCATGCTTGTTGGAAGTCCTCATCTTGGGCGTATAGGTCTTTCAAGCACTCAAAACCTACAATCTCAACACTGAGGATCTTGATGAGGGCGACACGCCTACTAAGAGCATCGGCCACTGTATTTTGCTGCCCAGCCTTATACAAAATTTTGTATGGGAATTTATCAAGGAAAGCAGACCATCTTGCATGCAGATCACTCCTCAACTGCTTCTGCTGACTGAGATACTTAAGAGCTTGGTGGTCGGTGTAAAGAACAAATTCTTTTGCAATTAAATAATGTTCCCATGTTTTCAAGGCTCTAACTACAGCATAGAATTCCTTGTCATAGGTGGACCACTTCTTCTTGGCTTCACATAACTTTTCACCAAAGAAGGCAATGGGTCTTTTCTCTTAGGACAATACAGCCCCTATGCCAATTCCACTGGCATCACATTCTACTTCAAATAGTTTATCAAAATTTGGCAAGGCAAGGACAGGAGCAGTGCATAGTTTTTCTTTTATACGGGCAAAACTCTACTCTTGTTCTTCTCCCCACTGAAACTTCCCCTTTTTCAAACACTCAGTGATGGGAGCTACAATACTACTAATTCCATCCGCGACGTTTGATGGGGTCGGCCACTCCCTAATGGCTTTCACCTTCTCTTCATCCACCTTAATTCCATCCTTGCTTATAATGAATTCCAAGAACAACAAATTATCGCTCACGAAAGTGCACTTTTTTAAATTAGCATATAATTTGTTTTCCCTTAATGCTTTTAATACATCCCTGATATGTCCCATGTGTTTAGTGATGGATTTGCTGTAAATCAAAATGTCATCAAAATATACCACAACAAATTTCCCAATAAAATGATGCAGTACCTAATTCATTAGCCTCATGAAGGTGCTGGGGGCGTTGGTTAGTCCAAAGGGCATGACTAACCATTCGAACGGTCCATCTCTAGTTTTGAAGGCTATCTTCCATTTGTCTCTGGGATGGATCCTGATCTGATGATACCCACTCCTGAGATCAATTTTTGAAAATACTATAGCTCCATCAAGCTGATCTAGCATGTCGTCCAACCTGGGAATGGGGAATTTGTAGCCAATAGTGATTTTATTAATAGCCCTGCTGTCGACACACATCCTCCAACTTCCATCCTTTTTTGGTGTTGACAATGCTGGTACTGCGCAAGGACTCATGCTGACTTGAATATCCCCCTTTTCAACAATTCTTCTACCTTTTCCCGTAAGATTTCATTTTCTTTAGGACTCATCTTGTAATGTGGTAGATTGGACAGGCTACCACTAGGAACAAAATCAATACGGTGTTGTATATCTCGCATGGGTGGGAGTCCTTTAGGTAACTCCTCTGGAACTACATCATGAAACTCATCAAGTAGTCCCTACACTTCCACTGGAATTTTATTTCCTTCTAGTGTCTCATCCTCACTTTCTCCCTTCACTACCAACAAATGGATCTCGCGGGTATCCTTACATTCTTTTACAAATTCAGCATGGTGATGTGTAATAGTAAGGAAATTTTTCTCATATGTTTTTGGGGCCTTTAGGGTATTCCTTTCTGCCATAGGTAGTAAGGTGTAACATACACCCTCTTTCTCGAGTTGGTAGGTATTCTTCCTACCCAGGTGTCTTGCATCTGTATCAAACTGCCAAGGCCTCCCTAACAAAATATGGCAAGCATCCATATCTACAATATCACAATATACTTCATCAGAGTACTTACCAATGGAGAATGGGACCTTGCAGCGTTCCTCCACCCGTACACCGCCGACTTCCTTGATCCACCCAATTGTGTATGGGTTTGGATGTTTTCTAGGAATTAGTTGCAATTTCTGTATGACATCCCTGTAGATAATATTTTCCTGACTGCCACTATCAATAATTAAATTGAATAATTTACCCTGTACAGTGCATCTGGTACAGAACAGTCGGTGTCGTTGAGTGGAATCTTTGCTTCTTTGGGACAACATTAATTTCCTCACAAAACATGTGTATTATTCATGCTCATAGGGACCTTCTTCGTCTTCTCCATCAGGCCCACAATATGCCTCATCTTCCACATCCTCTTACCTCTCTCTCTACCATGTTAACTGCCTTCCGTCTGGGACAGTCACTGAACCTATGCCCAACTTCATTGCACTTAAAGCATTTAAAATGAGCAGGTTTTGCATAGGGGTTACTGGATTTAGGAGGGTTGGAAGGGTTACCTCGAGTATTTCCTCCCGTGATGGCTTTGCTAGCGTTAGCTGTACTCGTCGGGTGAGAAGGCTGTACTCCTGGGACCGATTTGTTCCTGTCGACTGTTGCCAGTCTATTGTCGCTCCCACTGTACCGGCGGTAAGTATCACCTCGGGTCTTCTCTTGGAACATTAATTCAACCTTCAAGGCTAGGTTCCTTGCTTCCTGTACACTAAGAACCATCTGAACGCCAATTTTGTCTCTGATAGCCGGTCTCAAACCGCTCAGATAACGGGCTGTCTGCTGGTTATCACTTTCAGATAGCTGATTTCGTTAAGCCAATCTTAGAAATTCAGATGTATATTCATTGACACTCCTAGAACCCTGCACACATCGTTGATATGATTCAAACATATATTGTTCATAATCTGGGGGTAAAAATCTACC